GAATAGAACTTCCTGGTCTCATTTTATGGTGGTCAGAGGAGGGCACAGGAAGTAGAGAAACAGGGGACGCGGAACTCTGAGGGTACGCAGGGTGGCAGGAGTTCCATACCTTTCTGGGCCTTTCTCTCCTCATCTTTAAAAGGAGGGGATTTCTAAAGTCTTTGATATTCTGACATTCTGTAAAAATTATTGGATTAAGGTCTGTCACCCCCACTAAACTGTCAGCACGTCACGGGAAGGAGTGAGGTCCACGTTCCTCTCCATTGCCTCCAGTGCCTGGGGCAGTGTGGTCAACACATATTTGTTGAACGAATGAATGACCGAAGGAATGAGTGAGTGAAGTACAGGAATAGCAAGGGTTAGGAGTCACTCATTTATTCATGCCCAACATTTCTTGAGCATCTACTATCTACCAGATATTGTACTTGAACCTGGGGAGACAAGAATAAATGTGCTGGTTGAGCCCTTGTTCTGAACTGAATTGTGCCCCTCCCCAATTCATATAGTCCCCTAACTCTTTGTGTGACTGTATTTGGAGATAGGCCCTTTAGGGAGGTACTTAAGGTTAAATGAGATCATGAGGGTAGGCCCCAGACCCAGTAGGACTAGTGTCCTCATAAGGAGAGGAAAAGACACCTGGATCCTCCCCCACTACCCAACTCCGCATTGACGAGCACAGAGGAAAGGCCATGTGAGAAGGTGGCATCTACAAGGCAGGAAGAGAATCCCTACCAGAAATCGAATTTGCCAGCACCTTGGTCATGGCCTTCTAGCCTCCAGGACTATGAGAAAGTGAATGTCTGTTGTTTAAGCCACCCAGGCTGTGGTGTTTTGTTATGGCTACCTGAGCAGACAGCCCGCAAGGGGCTCACAGTCTAGAAGCTGAGACAGATGAAGAAAAATGATAATGCTGAATGATTAGTCCTCTGAGATAGGACCGATCAGGGGCTGTGGAATTTCGGAAGAAAGTTACCTGAGACTTGAGGCAGGGGTAGGGGAGGGCCAAGGAAGGCTCCTCAGAGAAGGTGACATCTGTGCTAAATATTAGAGGAGGAAAAGACTTGAGCCAGAGGAAGCGGGAAGAGACGGGTGTCATAAGCATGGGAGCGGCCCAGCAGAGGCTCAGGAAGCCATCAGTATGAGGGGCAGCTCATACCAGATGAGAGAGAAGCACAAAGTGGAGACTCAAAGTTCCAGCAAACTCTCTGGAGAATGAAGGGATGAGATGAAGAAAGAACACTAGTAACTTAAGAGGAAATCACATTCCACGGTGTTTAGGGCAATCAGAGAGATGCTGTCCATAAGCCAGAGGCTTGCGCTTTGTCAGGACAGGATGGGACAGCAGTGCCTCGTGCGTGATCACTGCCTCCCTCCCGGCCTCTGCCCTTCATCACCTGAACCCGCTCGTCTCCCCTTGCCTGGAAGCTCTTGCCTGTCTCTCCCTCTCACCTTCTCTAGTCTCAGTCTCCCAGTTCACAGCCAGGTTTCTTGTTAAGAGTGAACCACATTCACTGTTTTCTCTTCTCCACACACCACCACCCGTCTCTTCTCGCTGAGGTTTTTCATGGCTCTTCGTACCGTATCTCTTGGCCCGCTCACATCTTGGCCCTCTACCTAACTGATTTCGACTCTGGTGGGATCTGACCCTGTTGATCGCTCCCTCTTTCTGGAAACCCTTGACACAGCACTGGAACACCTCTCTGGTCTGTAAGCCTCTTGCAGGCAGAGCCTGTATCTGATTCAGTCACTGGCAAGGCACCCGTTGCCCAGGGCAGTGTCTTCCCTGTAACGAGCAACTGATAACTGTCCCAAAGATGCTCCTTTCGCCTCCTTGATACCTCTCGTTTCCAGTGCTACGTCTATTTCTCTGGTCCCTCGTTCTCAGCTTCCTTCACCGAGTCCTTTTCCTCCAACCTCTCCTTAAATGTCGTTCATCCCCAAGGCTCCGTCCTTTGTCCTGCTCTTATTTTATGCTACACACTGTCTTTGGGTCACCTCACCCACCACCACCTAGGAGGACTCTCTTTACATCTCCAGGCCCAAATTCCCTCCCGAGCTGCGGATCTGTAGGCCTTCCTGTCAACTGGACAACCATTTCCTGGTATCTTGCAGGCACATCCAGGTCCACATGCTCATACTAAAATCATCATCTTTTCCCCCAAACGTGGTTCTCTTCCTGCTCTCCCTTCCCTGGTACCACCCTCTACCCAGTTATACCATCCAAATACCTGCTAGACTTTCACCCAGTCTAATTCTGACAATTCTACCTCCTTAAAGCTCTCATCCATCTTCCCCATCCCTGTTCATTTCATCCTACTCATATCCTGGTTCTGGCTCTCACCATCTCTCATCTGGTCTAAAGCAGACACACTGGATGACTTTCTCTGTCCCCCCTGTAGCACTTTTCCCATCCTCCTGCCATCCTGCCACCAGTGTCATCTCTCCAAAATGGAAATCAGCTGAAACTATTAGATCCTCTCTACCTTCAGAGTAAATTTGAATTCTTTAGCAAGACAAAGCAATATGATAATGGTACTTTGTTTCTGATGGGATCAGTTTACCCTCCTAGAGCTTAAGCCAGCATTTGTCCAGGGGCCTGTGGTATAGACAGGCTAGATCTTTATTCTTTTTCTTTTTCTGGCCACACAGTGTGGCCTGCAGGATCTTAGTTCCCCAACCAGGGATCAAACCCATTTCCCCCTACATTGGGAGCACGGAGTCTTAACCACTAGACCGCCAGGGAAGTCCCTAGATCTTCACTCTTCCAGGGAGGAAGGAAAGACCATAAGTATTGATTCATTCTAGAAACATTGCCCTGGCATTCTGATCTTTACTGAGAGTCAAGTAAGGCACAAAATGTAAGGAGGCACTTCCTCTCAGGTCGTGCAAGGGCCTCCTTAAATTTTGCATCGTAGCAACCTTATTTGCCTCACCCCCATTGTGTGCATGAGTTCACCTTGCTTCCTATGTTATTATTATGACCCATGAAACGAAGCCTGGATACAAATTACCAGCAGCTTATGAGTTTAGAGTCTGGCTGAAATTAAGTGAGCCTTTAAAAGTTGAGGCTACATAAAAACAAAAACCTGGCTGGGTTCACCATTCTGGAAAGCAATTCTGCCAGTTATATTGGAGCTTTAAATGTTCTTCTGCTGTTTGACCCAGTACACTTCCAGGAGTCGATCCTAATTAAATAATCGTGCATGTAGACAACTACCCTTATGTACAAAGATATTCATACAGAATGTTTATAATAACAAAGAGGAAGCAATTAAATGTCCACAAATAGAGGAAGATGCTTAAATGGTGGTAATTATACACTATTATGCATTATAGTGTGTGCATTCAAAAGATAATTCTATAGACTTCAAATAAGTAAACAAAATCATTGTATTAAATACAATGAGATTACAAAATTATATGCATAGAATAATCCCAGGCTAGTAAATACTCAATATATGCTTAGAGAAAAAAAAGACTGGAAGAAAATACACAAAAATGTTAACAAGGTTACTTCTAGGTTTGGGGATTATGGGTGATTTCTGTGTGTTGAAAAAATTTTTGTTCCTATGGTTTTTAAAATAATGGTCATATATGGCTTTCATAATTTAAAAAAAGTGAAAGTTCTTTTAAGTAATTTTTAAAAGAAAATCTATTTCACTCTCTAGACTTCTCTTCCTCAGTGGTATTTACTAATAGGTCGCCCCTCCAGCTCTGGCTTGGGAGAGAGGCTGAGAAGTTTTTGGCGACAACCCATAGGATTTGTTGCTGTCGTTGTTTTTAATCCTCGAGAGCACATTTGGTTCAGATCATCTCTATGGCAGCACCGCTCCACTGATTCCACCGTTTGCCCAGCAGCTTCTGACTCTTGACTGTAACAGGACATATGGCTTGTGCACAGCGGTCTCTGTCTGTGTCCCGGGCTCACCATGACCACTGGATATTTCAGCTCCTAGCTTTGTGATGTTGCTAAAACAGCTTGAAACAAGCGCTGTGAGCCAGAGCTGGCTGTTCCGGATCCCATGTGTGGAGGGCTCTCTCAAACACAGAGCTGGGCACTGAGGAACAAGACACCCAGCCCAACCACTAGCCCCAAACTCCAGAAAGCGGGACCTCCTTCCATGCTAATTGCTTTTTTATGACCTCTATTCATGTTACGTTCAGAGATGAAGAAAGCTGAAGCTCAATTTGGACTCAGGCTGATAAAGAACCAAGAATCAGTGCCCTTCCTGCCTCCATCTCTTCCTCAGTGAAAGAGAGTTGGATTGGGGGATCTCCAAATGTACTATTTTATTGATGCATATCGGACAAGCAGGTATGCAGGTATTCCATTACCAGCTCTGTCACAGAGCTGCCCAGGTGAGACCGATGCTGAAGGATAGGTCTGGCTCTGTCTAAGCTCCCTCCGCAGGCTGGTATGGCCAGGGTGACATGTACCATGCTGGTAACCAGCAGCGGCTGGTCCTCAGGCAGGTCCATCCCTGCATCCTCCCGATTTACTACTGGTGGGGACAACCTAATGATCCTCCTAGCCACACAGCTTGAAGACAGCTGCTTTCTTCTCTTTTAAAAGGGACTAGCAGAAATAATTAGGACTCACAGAATCATTCTCACTAATTAGAGGTCCCATGGGTTATTTGAGAATTCCCAGATTTGCTCCAACCTAGGATGCACACATCAAATAATTGCCCTTATTTTGTTTTAATGTGCATATATTCTTTTATCCAGTATCTACTTTTACCCAGGACAATTCCTAAGAGATTGAAGAATATGCAATGATAGCACTGTATCAAATCTAGCATCATTTAAAAAGAAAACATAATTCTAACTTCCTAAAAGGGGGGAGTAGGCGGAAGCAGGAAAACAAAGGGAAAAGGAGTAAAAAGGCAAAAGGCATCCACGGGAAACACCATATATTGTAAACGATTCCACAACAAAACCAGAAGCTTGCTTTACATACCCTCTTCCCCTAAATTCTCTATCAGGAGAAGTCCACTCACCTGCCTTTCTTCGACATCTCCTGTACATCTCTTTTTCGCCAGTGCACTCTGCTTTCAGTAGCCAAAGCCCATGGCCACCACAAAAGGAAAAGGCCAACTTTCATGTTCTGGACAGCCAGCATGCGTTTCCAAATCCAAACAGTTCTCTCAAGAAACAGCAAAAAAGGAAAAGGATGTCCTTTTTCTCTCTTAACACATTATTGTTCTGTTCATTATTAGAAAGATGTTTACTCATGCAAAAAAAAAAAAAAATCAACCCACAGTCTGTAATCTGGAGGGCAGGAGAAAAAGCAATTTCCACTAAACCTATAAATCCTCCTACGTCAGATGTCAGGGATTTTCTGAACTGAGGTTGAAGTCCTGTGTCCCTGTCGGACAATTATTTTGGCTGGTCTAAATGAGTTCATCGTCAGACGTGGTGAATACGTTCGTAAAAGGTCTGTATTTTCTGTTCCAACAGAATAGAAGGAAGTAAAAACAAACCAAAGCAATTTCTGAAACAAGACATACCTGAGGTGCTGCACTGCTTCTTATGCCCCGAAAATGAGCTCCTCCCTGGATCTATTTAAAGCTTTTTGCCATTATTATATGCTTTAGCTGAGGGCTGGATTTGGATGGTTCCCCACCCTCACTCCTTCCTGTGGTTGAATCTGTGGAAACTCAGGGCTCTATACCTATGCCCTTATCTATCTGGCTGTGGTTGGGAGGGCTAGGGGGAAGGAGGCTTTTTTTTTTTGGTCTTTGTTTTTTGCACAGTAAGAGTGAAATTCTCTTATCAGTAGTACTATTCATACTGTGAACCTCATCAGACTTTTCACACTTGGAAAATATCAGTAATAAATTAACAATAGCAATTAAGTCTGAGTTATCTATTGTTAAAAACAAGACAGAGGACCAAAATGGAGTTGCTTATGCTAAGCTCCACATCACCAAAAGGAGACAACTTCATTTGTTTTAGCTCTCCCAGAAATGGAATCTTTTTATTTTTAACATCTTTATTGGAGTATAATTGCTTTACAATGGTGTGTTAGTTTCCGCTTTACAACAAAATGAATCCGTTATACACATACATATGTTCCCATATCTCTTCCGTGTTGCGTCTCCCTCCCTCCCACCCTCCCTATCCCACCCCTCTAGGCGGTCACAAAGCACCAAGCTGATCTCCCTGTGCTATGCGGCTGCTTCCCACTAGCTATCTACCTTATGTTTGGTAGTGTATATATGTCCATGCCTCTCTCTTGCTTTGTCACAGCTTACCCTTCCTCCTCCCCGTGTCCTCAAGTCCATTCTCCAGTAGGTCTGTGTCTTTATTCCTGTTTTACCCCAGGTTCTTCATGAC